ATTTCCTTGACAGTGGCATTCCTGTTTGAGGTGCAGTGACGTTTAAGGGCCCGGAGATCACGAGCATCCAGTAGAGTTTTACGGCCTTGACCCTTACGCACAGTGATTGTTCCAGATTCTCTGAATCTTTTGATGATGTTTTCACGGTTGATGATGATAACTTAAAAGTCTTTGCTATTTTATGCTGGGTAACACCATTCTGGTATTGCTGCACTATCTTTCTGCGCAACAATGGTGGAATTGGTGATCCTCTTACCATCTTGGCTTCTGAGAGACACTGACACTCTGAGAAGCTCTTTTTATACCAATCATGTTGTCAATTGACCTAATTAGTGTTAATTGGTCTTCCAGCTGTTCGTTATATGCCCAATTTCCTTTTTCCAGACACTTATTGCTACTTGTCCCAACTTTTTTGGGATTTGTTGACACTGTGACATTTTGAATCAACATATTTTTCCTTTATAATGTTACATTTACTCAGATTAAACTTTAGATCTGTCATCTATGTTATATTACGAATAAAATATTGACATTTGCCATCTCCACATCATTGCATTCAGTTTTTATTCACAATTTGTTTAGTGTCCCAACTTTTTTGGAATCCGGTTTGTATTTTTTTTAGTGTATGATGTTAAAAAAAGTTTCAACTGTGAACTGAAACAGACCAGAATCTATTTGCACGTGTCAACATCACATATTTGTAGGGCTGAAACGATTCCTCGAATCATTCGAGGACCTCGATTACAAAAAATCCTTGAGGCAAATTTATCTGCCACGAAGCTTCGTTAAACTATTCAGAGCACTGTAGTCTAGCCAGAACATTTGTGTTACACAACGCTAATGCTTCCGCTAGCACTTCCGCTAACGCGTATGTGCTAAGTTTGTAGCAATGGAGGGAACGGAGACTGCGTAGAAGAAGAGCCACGAGAACAACAAAAACTGTCAAAAGTTTGGGAACATTTTAGGTTAAACAGAAAAGACAACACAGCTCAATGCTTCCACTGCAAAGCAGAACTGAAGTAACCACA